AATGCTAATTGATAGGGGTCAGGAAGGAGAGTTACTGTTCATCATCTAAAAGGGAAGGCTATATTTTATGTTACAGCTAGGCACCTGTGTGGAAGTACTGCCAAAGGGGAGTTTGTAATGGATCCCAATGAGGTCAGAGTTAGAGGATTCTTCCAGTATATTCCTGATGAGGTATTCAATAACAGATTTAAGTGGTACTTAATGTTTCCCCACTGCATGCTGTCAGTAGACTTGAAACAAAATCGACCCGGAGTGTAGCTTTGAACTTGGTAAGCCAGAGGAGCTTAGTAGAACTTTACTGATGAGCTTGCAAAAGATAGGTTTAGTTCGTAAAGATATAATTAAAAACATGGCAGCATGAAACTTGATAAAGCCCACCTTTTAAATAATTCAGGAGATGAAACGTTACTTTTCCTTCTACCCCTTGATGGTGTGTTTCTATAGATATCAAGGCCATTTTATTTAAAACTTACTACTGTACTTGAAAAGAAAAATTATTCCTATGCTGTTGTAATTTTGTTTTGCAAAACTGTACAGGAAGAATGTGCAGAATGAGTTACCAAGAAAGTTAAAATGTCCAAAAAGTAATTTGCTTTGGAATGTTTTGTAATAACCATTTGAAAATTCAGAAAAGTCATGTATTTGATGGGCAATGTTGGGTAAGAGCACTTCATATTTTGTCCCTTATCAGTCCAACTTCAGGGGCTTGAGGAGAGGGAGAGGTTCTGGTTTTGCTGGCCTAGCTACTCAGCTGACCTGACTTTTGGGGTTTGACTCTGGGCTGGCCACATGGTGATTAGGGCTGAAGACACGTTATCATTGGCCCAATTAAAGTTAATCATTAGATTTCTGAGTAAACAATTGGTAAGGGGCAAAAAAGGGGGTCCCTTTCTATAGCCTTACTGATCTGATACGATATCAGCTTAATGCTGTTGGTTTTGCCCAACAGGAGGATCCCTGGACCAAGAATGCAGCCAGCATGAAAGAAAGCAGAATCTAGTAGTAGTGATGGAATCTTAGCTTTCTTGATGACTTGACAATAGCCATACCTGGAACATGTTCCTTAGAACCTTTTAGTAACATAATTAAAACAAATCTATTTGTTGACGAAGCCAGGATGGGTTTCATTACTTGAAACAAAATTAATACTAACTCCCAAAGTGAGCCATTTCACTTTCTGTCCTTCTAGCTCTAATTTCAATATAAAATTCAATGCACTCTCCCTAGTATGGTATTAGTATGGCTCTGCCAACCACTTCTCTATTCTGCCCAGCCCCTTCTCATTTAAGAAAGGCCCTTGCAGATTACATACCTCATTTAGCTGTTGCCATAAGTATCTCACTATCTGATCTTCTGTCCATGGCAGGGTCATCCTTCAACGGATCCCTGGAAAAATTCACCTCCTTTTGAATGCCTTCTCTGGACTCTTCTTCTTATTTTGCTTCTCTTAAGTGTTTTATACTGATCATAGAACATAATTGGCACTTCATTATCTATTGTCATTCTGTAAGTCAATGTTTATTATTATTATTCATTTTATAGATAATGTTCCACTTCCACTGAAGAGGTAAATAGGAGCTTTGGTCATATTTGGGTTTCAGCTCATCACATTCACAAGACTGCCTCTTCTTATATTAATATTATATTTGAAAGTCATGCATAAATGCCACTTGAATAAAAAGATGAGAGGTTTGCTGGTAACATATAAGTAGAAAATCCATAGTTCCAATTTCCTTACATTAGTATACTTACCTTTTCAGTTCAATTGTGTAGTTCTTTTGTACATAGTTTCTGTATTCTAGTATCTTTATGACATAAAAAGATATATTCTAATATCTTTATGTAGTTCTTTTCTACATAGTTTCTGTATTCTAATATCTTTATGACCTAAGCTCTACTAGGTCCTCCCTAGTAGAGCTTAGCCACGTAGCAGGTACTCAGTGCTAATTTTCCTTTCCTCTTCTTATTGTCCCCTATTAACATTATTTCAAGATGAAAGTTTAAGTCCTTAAAATGGCCCACAAAGCTCAGTCTTCCTCTTATTACTTTTCTGCCTTCATGTCCTACCATTCTCTCTCTATCCATCCACTGAGCTGCTCTGACCCTCTTGTTGTGGTGGAAATGTACCAGCTGTGCTCCTGCCTCAGGGCCTTTGCACATTCTATTGCCTTAGCCTGATGTACTCTATATGTGACTCTGTCCTCCACCTTTTCAAATCTGTGCTTTAATGTCACTTTATGTCCTACTTAAAATGTCATGTTATATACCTGTCTACAAACTCTCCTCATCTCCCTTATCCTGCTGTTTTCCTCTGTAACACTTTTCACTTTTTTCAGATCATGTGATTTAGTTATTCATTATATTTAGTGCCCCACTACAATATAGAGAATAGGGGCTCTGTTCCCCCCACCCTTCGTTGCTGTACTGCCATTCTTACAAAAGTGCCTGGCATATTTGAGACACTCAATAGCTTTCTAACAAATAAATTGTAAAATTCTAACAAATAAAATTAAAAAATTTTTTTTTAACATTTATATACTTACTCCACTCACCTGTCAAACTAAACTGGCTCTCTCCTGGTCTTCTGTGTCCTGAGTGACTGGCTCCCACACCACCACCCACAAAAACTCATACCTCCTGTCTGCAGGGTCCTCCCACCCATCTTTACTTAATTGTTTTAAAACTTTGTAACCTACCACTGTCTGAAGGTACTCTCTTTCCTCTCAGTTCCCATGATATTTATGATTTGTACCACTCCTTTGAAGATATGTGTAGCCTTGTTTTTTATATAAATTTTATGTATTATCTTTTTCCCCTCAATGTTTATGTTTCATTCTTGAACATAAGAAAAAAAACAATTTGTGCAATCAGTCCTTTATAATTATATTCTGGTCATTTAATCATTAATTAGGAAGATAATTAGTAAGTGCATAATGCAAGACAATGCTGTGCTAAGATTTGGGAAATACAAGCTCCCTGCTCCCTGTCCTTAATGAATTTATTGACTGGTGTTGAAGAAAGTCAGGAAAACAGATGACTACGAAGTATGATAGAAGAGTAGGGAAAATAAATGGAGCAAGGTGAGAAGGACTGTGCCATGACTGGAAGAATTCTTAAGTAAGGGATGCATCAGTAATGTCTTCTGGGGAGGGAAATGAGAGCGAAGAGAATGAGAAAAGTGTAGCAGGCAGAAGAACCAACTCAAAGTTTGACCAACTCTTAATTCTTTACAAAGGCAAAGAGAAGAAACAGCATAGTTTTATGTGTGTATGTGAGATGACAAGCAATGGTAAATGGGAGAGTGAGAGAAGGGACAGCGAGTTAGGAAAGCAAACAAAGTCTTCTCTGTTTACTTTCTGGCATACACACACACACACACACACACACACACACACACACACACGTATAAATGCATATATTTTATTTCTGGGTTTTTGGGGCATTAAACTGACTTATTTCTAGAATAATCTACCAAGTGAAATTTGGAGTGGCAAAATAATTTTAGGAAAAATGAGAGCACACATCACTAACACTCAGTGTTAGACTTCAGAAATTAAAGATTTCACAAACTCTAGTATGACTGTATTAATCTCCTAGTACCAAAACTGTAATTGTTTAGATTATTTGACACCAAATTCATCTTCAGCTGCTTTGGAACTTTTTTTTTCTTTAAATTTGGAATGTAATCTCCCATAAGTACCTGGTCCGTTATCCTTTGGGAAGAGCATACACTTGCTCCATGTCAGCCTCCAAGTTCAATCAGTCACCCTCAGGAATCATCTCTGATGAATCTTTCCAGCATCAGTGATTACAATGATATTCTTTCTGTTGGGGGATTTTAAATAACAGGACAATCAGGACATGTTCCTTTTCATCGTTGCCTCCCATAATTTTCTTTAGTAGAGACCTTATCAAAAATGCTTGATTTTTCCCCCTTATTATAACTCTTCAAAGGAGAGAAAATGAGACTTGGAGCCCAGGTTTCCATAGCAAATGCTTCTAGGACCACAGCTGCTCCATCCTGCTTTTGAAGTTCCCTCTGCTCACCTCTTGAAGCTGCAACCCCCTTAATAGCAGCATTAGGTATTTCAGCTCCGTTTTTCTGACAGTCTTAGTGGAGAGAGTGAGGGAAAGCCTTTCATGTAGGACTTTGTTGCCCTAATATGATGCTTGAAAGACAAAAATAATTCTGATTTATCTAATCCTGGCACATACTTGTACCTGTAGTGTCTTTGCTTAGTAAGCAGGAATGGCTTTCACTGGGTCTTTCTTTATTTCCCATTTGTAGTGGAGATTAGAGCCCTATACGATCAATTTAAAAGACAGTGACTCAAGGATGCACCATTTCATTACAATGCAGACATAAGATCCAAATTAAACTCCAAACACTCCAAATAAGAAGTTCTCTATTTCTAGTCCGAAATGACTAGTGAATAAGAAAAAATTTATTAAAATCATTTCTTCTCACAGCTAGAGAGGAAAAAGTAAAAGATATGATGTTACCAATTAAAATAAGAAAAACAATGTGCAATAAAATCAATCCTGTCCTTTAGTGGAAGGCGATTTTAACATTTGTAAGTTTAGTTGTGTAAATGCAGGCAAACCATACAGAAGTCATTTTTCTCCAACACCTGGCAATGCCACTGCTCTGGATACTTACTTTGCTTTCCAGAAAGGGCAGAAGAGAGTCAGAAGCAAGTTCTGCCTCTTGTTGGAAAAAGACGCTGTTGAAGTTGTTGATGGTATTTTCATTCATCAGTTTTGATGTGGATGTTGAGAAAGAACCACACTAAGCACCTGTCTTGGCACATACTGAACACTGACTTATTTCATGGAGCTATTAAATCCATTTAACTCTTCACAAGCATTTTTTTACTTTTTTGGATCTTACATGAAAGTGTATTTGAATGTACTTTGATTCTGGGGGAAGAGGGAACAGAAAACTGGTGTAAATTTGAGGAGGGATAAAAACTGTTGTGTTTGTCCTTTTTGTTGTGTAGGAGAAAAACAACGATAGCCCATAGATGATCTGAAGACAGAATGAATTGGAACGCTTGTGCTTGGAAGGAAAGTGAAGTTTTTTGTACAGTCAAGGTAACTGAGCACATTTTTTTTTATTATTTGCTATTATTTTTATTGCATTTTAGGTTTTGTGGTACATGTGAAGAACATGCAACATTGTTGCATAGGCACACACATGGCAATGTGATTTGCTGCCTTCCTCCCCATCACCTATATCTGGCATTTCTCCCTGGCTGTCCCTCCCCTATTTCCCCCTGACAGACCCCAGTATGTGATGCTCCCCTCCCTGTGTCCATGTGTTCTCATTGTTCAACACCCACCTATGAGTGAGAACATGCGGTGTTTGATTTTCTGTTCTTGTGTCAGTTTGATGAGAATGATGGTTTCCAGGTTCATCCATGTGTCTACAAAGAACACAAAGTCATCGCTTTTGATAGCTGCATAATATTCCATGGTGTATATGTGCCACATTTTCCCTGGCTAGTCTATCAACGATGGGCATTTGGGTTGGTTCCAGGTCTTTGCTATTGTAACCTGTGCTGCAATGAGCATTCGTGTGCATGTGTCCTTATAGTAGAACAATTTGTAATCCTTTGGATATATACCCGGTAATGGGATTGCTGGGTCAAATGGAATTTCTATTTCTAGGTCCTTGAGGAATTGCCACACTGTCTTCCACAATGGTTGAACTAATTTACACTCCCACCAACAGTGCAAAAGTGTTCCTATTTCTCCACATCCTCTCCAGCATCCGTTGTCTCCAGATTTTTTAATGATTGCCATTCTAACTGGCGTGAGATGGTATCTCAATGTTGTTTTGATTTGCATTTCTCTGATGACCAGTGATGATGAGCATATTTTCGTATGTTAGTTGGCCTCATGTATGTCTTCTTTTGTAAAGTGTCTGTTCATATCCTTTGCCCACTTTTGAATGGCTTGTTAGTTTTTTTCTTGTAAATCTGTTTTAGTTCTTTGTAAATTCTGGATATCAGCCCTTTGTCAGATGGGTAAACTGCAAAAATTTTTTCCCAATCTGTTGGTTGCCGATTCACTGTAATGACTGTTTCTTTTGCCGTGCAGAAGCTGTGGAGTTTGATTAGGTCCCATTTGTCTATTTTGGCTTTTGTTGTCAATGCTTTAGGTGTTTTGGTCATGAAGTCCTTGCCTACACCTATGTCCTGAATGGTTTTGCCTAGATTTTCTTCGAGGGTTTTTATGGTGTTAGGTCTTATGTTTAAGTCTTTAATCCATCTGGAGTTAATTTTAGTGTAAGGTGTCAGGAAGGGTTTCAGTTTCTGCCTTCTGCACATGGCTAGCCAGTTTTCCCAACACCATTTATTAAACAGGGAATCCTTTCCCCATTGCTTGTTTTTGTCAGATTTGTCAAAGATTGGATGGTTGTAGATGTGTGGTGTTTTCTCCGAGACCTCTGTTCTGTTCTATTTGTCTATATCTCTGTTTTGGTACTAGTACCATGTTGTTTTGATTACTGTAGCCTTGTAGTATAGTTCGAAAGTCTGGTAATGTGATGCGTCCTGCTTTGTTCTTTTTGCTTAGAATTGACTTGGCTATGTGGGCTCTCTTTTGGTTCCATATGAAGTTTAAGGTGGTTTTTTCCAGTTCTGTGAAGAAGGTCATTGGTAGCTTGATGGGGATAGCATTGAATCTATAAATTACTTTGGGCAGTATGGCCATTTTTAATGGACCTAGGTTTCTGTAAATCATTTCTGGTGCAAGTATCATTTCAAAGTATGCTTTTCAATGATATTCCATACTTGTTCTTTGAGAGTTAATTGATATGCATATTTTCAGAGCTGTGTTATTGTTTGAATAGTGTAGCTGGAGCTTCATAGCAAGGTGCTATAGTATAGACAGAAAACAAAATGGGTTGGTAACTGGTACATGATGATTTGCTCTTTTATTGGAGTCCTTCTCTTGGTGTTATTTGACAGCATATATCCTAGAAACCTTAGTATGGGACTACAGTGGGCAAGCTTCCATCCTTTGGTAGATAGATTTATTTCTGAAGGTTGTTAGAAAACTCAGTGTTAATCTATTGGGATTTGATGCATAGGTAATTAGGTTTAAGGAAAATATTTTATCCTGTTTCTGCAAATTGGGAATTTGGGGCTGTTTTCTAAGGCACTGAGATTCTGGAAGCTCTCCTGCTGATGGCGAATGTCTAGCTTTGCCTCATATGACAGCTGGAATTGCTCTGGCATCTCCAGTAGAATAGTTTTATCTCCTACCTTATTATGGCCTTGTTCTACCCTGGAAAGAAGTTTGGAGAACAGAGTTCTCTTACACCATCATAACTGCATACCTCTACCTGCACACCACACTAGTGGCTACAGCAGAAAAGTGTGGAAAGCTCTGACCAGTAGAGCAACGTCTTGGCAATCTCACTGGTTGCTACAGCTTATAGCATGGTAAGAGCCCAGGCAGAGGGGCTCTGGGGAGCTTGTACCTGACAGTCCTCTAGGGGACTCAGAAACAGCTGGGAGACATTTGAAGAGAGAGTTGTCAAACATGGAAATTCCTGAGTAAACAGTGCAGAGCAAAATCAATTCCTCAAATCTCTCTGTCTGACTACCACAAAAATAATAAAGCAAATAAGAAAAAAGTTGGCCAGCAAAAACTAAATAAGAAAAAGACTTATGCCTCTTGTCATATGCTTCTAAAAGATACAACCTAGAGAAATTTTAAATAAAATTACTAAAGTTCTTAATTATATCCCCGTTCTTGAGATGTGGCACTGGAGATCAGTGAGTCATCAAAATTCTGAGAGCTCTTATTCATTCCCCACAATCTTGGGGCCATGAAATTAAGGATGTTCAATTGAATCTAGAGAAAAGCAAGGAATGATTACAGTAATGGTGGAAGACTCACCTGCTTCCAAGGAATATTGATGGAAACTGAAGGAATTCACTGTGTTCCTAGATTCTGTGGTGAATTAGGGCACTGAACTGAATTCTTCAGGCATTCCTTCTATTAAATATGTAAGAACAACAACAGGGTGGAGAATACCCTGATAGAAAGACATTAAACCATCTCTTGGATACCAGGGAGGGTCAAAATTTGCACTGTAGGCTGACCACTGATCTTGTGAATAAAGTTTTGTTAGAACACAGCTATTCCCATTTGTTTTTGTATGGTCTATGGCTACTTTTATGCTAAAACACCAGAGTTGAGTAGTTGCAATAGAGACCATAGTGGCACAAAAATGTTCACACATTTACTATGTATCTCTTTATGGAAAAAGTTTGCCTATTCTTGTCATAGAAGAAAGTGGAGAGTTTAGGTTTGCCAACAAAGAAAACCACACTCAGATAAGATGAATAGTGGAAAAGACATTTTACTAATTGCTTTACAGAATATGCAGAAAGGCTAGAGGTATCTACGTTAAGTACATTAAGTTAAAAATAAGAAGGAGGAAAATGGTATGGCGTTTATGTCAGCAATCACACACACACACATACATACATACATACATACATACATACATACATACATACCATGAGTACACACAAAGGAAAGAATCACAAAATCCAGTTTGGGATAAAACATAACTTAAGGAAAAGTAGAAATAGTGCTTTATACCATGAAAATTACTAATTAGAGTATAACTTAAGGAAACATTTCAAAGACAAGATGATAAACCAACATAAATTGATGAACATAAATATAGAGCTAAGTAAATAATTGTATATTTACAAAGCAATACACAACAAAGCAATCCTCATCTTTATCTGACTACTAAACGAATTAGAAAGAACTGGAAACAAAAGAGATAGAACTAAAAAGTCAAATCATGGAAATGGACAAAAGCCTTGAGCATAAGAATAAATTTAGAAAAAAAGGGAAAGGATTTAAAAACTAATGAAAAGCAGCAAATAGACAAATATGTCCTAACATTGATACTTGCTGTTCCACAGTAGATACCATAAAGCAGGGTAGATCCATTTTCTTGACTAAAAGGAAGAAATAATATTCAAATGGAATGAATATACCATGTTCCAAGAAAATTTAACACAGAGCAAAAGGGGTCTTTTTAAAGTTTTTAGACTTTTAGAATAAAGAAGCCTATGAGCATTCATGAAGAAAAGCAAGCCATTTATAATGGGAGAAACAAAATCAGGCTGGTGTTCACCATGACAGCTTTCAATGGCAGAAGGTAATGAGACAATAACTAATAGATGCTGATGGAGATGCAACGTAACTCAAGAATATAATAGTTCTTCTTCATATATGACGGCAACAGATGAATAGGCAAATTCAGAGAAGAATTTACAGACTAACAGATCCACAAAGTCTTCTGGGACCTTACTGCCCCAGTGCAAACTCAAATAAAACTTCCTGGAGCTCATTCAAAGGAGGAATGAAGGAGCCCTAGTAAAAAGATGAATGCAGCATTAAATGTCAGAAGAGAGCATGGTGGTATCTGTGGTGCACTGAGGAACAAGGTAACACAGGCTTATCTTATACACGGGTTGTCTTACAAGCTGAAAGACAGCACACATTCTCAAACATGCCATAATGTATGAAATGGACTGCAAGGAGCTTAGAAAATATCCAATGAATTAGTATGCCTAAAAGAAACTAAAGATCAGGCACAAAGCAAATTAGTGTAAAATGCTTTCAGCCAAGTGTCAGGTTGAATAACGGTGATGAATGCTCCACTCTTGGACTTTCTTACTCTTTGGGTGCCATACTGACAGCTTTGTCTCCCACAATTTTATCTTCTGTTCTCTGTGTGGAGCCCCAAAGCAAATACCATAACTTTGGGGGTTCTGTTTCAATAAAGGCATTTTGAGCTCACTGTGAAAGAGGAAACTAAAAGGATTAGACATTGAACTTTTAAAAAGTCTCAAACATTTTTTTCTGAATGGGGCATTTCCAGGATTCTTTGGGTCTAGTAAAGGTTAGAAAGTTCTACAACCATGCCACATACGAATGATAGGTTGCAATGCTTAAGCAGGAGACTCATTAATGACCTTGGTTTAAAACAAGCTTTTGGAGCCAGAAACTACTGGCAGTCCTTAATGTTCCTACACAAACTGTGTCTGTTCAAC